TAGTAAGTTGATTTTTGTAACATATTAAAATAAATAAAACACTTTAAACATTCAAATAATAATGATAATTGTAAAGTAATACATTTTATCCATGTAGCTATTAATATTCTAATGTAACTGCCTCAAGAGCTGGTATAAAATGCACTAACAATAATTATAAACTACTAAATAAGTATGAACACAAAAATCAAGAAACCTATTAGCTGGACAAAAAAAATCAATATTTATATGTCTAGTAAATCTTATTTTTATTTACTGTTTTTAGGACAGGAATCCTTCTTCGTCCTAGCAAGTTTCTGTTTCATTTCCGCGAGTAAAGCTTCGAAGGAGTCTCCGCTTCCGGATGGAGCAGATCCGATACTTCCACCAGTTCCGCATATTGGACTACTTGATACCAACGTACTTCCGGGTACCATTTTCCTGAATTCGTCGTTCTGGTAGCTCAGCACAGCTACACCATCTGATAGATTAAATAAAATATAGAAATAAAGTTTACAAAATACATTGGAGGAACAAATACAGATTGATAACAATAATAATAATAAAGTTAGGAAACAAACAATTATATGATAATGAACAATTATAAATTAATAAAGAAATCTGTGATCTACCTAAATCCGCGTAACTAGAATCGCAGAACTGACGTCGTCCTCCAAATGCTACATTGTAGTCTGCTAATCGAGGGTCTCTGGAGGCTCTCTCGACAGCATCATAGGCACTACTAGCCGTTGTAAAAGTCACGAAACCATAGCGCATACTACAAAAAAATTATATCTTAAAATCTGACCAGGAACATTAAATAAAGATGTAATTAAATGCAAAAATAATAAAAATATGTACAGAATAAATATGATCTATAATTTATATAACTAACCCATTATCCTTAGTATGAATTGATACATTTGTTACTGTCCCATATTTAAGGAAGAGTTGCTTGAGGTCATATTTGGTCAAAGAAGACTCCAGGTGACCAACGAAAACTACGCGCCTTTCATTATTCGTATTGTTTTTCGAAGAACCTGAAAGAATGAATTTATACCATTATATAAATAAATGTATATATATATATATATATATATATATATATAGAATTTTATGATATGAGTGGAACGAATATTAATTGTTTAATATGAACAAAACAGCACTCAGATTTGTTTAACACAACTTTATTTTATGATTACAGACGTTTCGAGACCATGGTGTGTCTCATCTTCAGTGTAATTTCAAAAACAGTTACTTATATACTACACATTCTTTAATAATTTATTTAAATTTCATTTAATTTTTGGTATACAAAAACACCAACTATTCCTTGCAATGCTTGACACCGTACTAAAGAAACATATAACACTTACAGAAATATTCTAAACAAATTTGAAGTACTTATATAGATGGAGACAGAGAGGGTATCATTATAATGTAAACAGAAGGAGTGCTATCGCATACAAAATCGATAAAAATGAAAAAACAAATTAATTTATTGAAAAGAATAAGATAAATGAAAAAATTTATAAATTATTAATGATGTTTATATAAGTGTCATGTAAAATATTTGTGTCGGTTCTTAGATTTATGCTATTGTTAGTCCGAACTATTAACATTGATTCTGCCATGCATTGTTTGGATTGCAATTGCTCTTATATTGGCCAGACCTGCCAGAACTTAGAAAAGAGACTCAGGCAACATGAATTACAATGTGAAAAAATAGATAACAAAAAATTTAAAAGTACACTTGTGGATCATGCTAATATCAACAACCATAAGTTTGATTTTGACAATCCCCAAATTTTATTCCATGAGAAAGACTTATTTAAACGGAGCATGGCAGAATCAATGTTAATAGTTCGGACTAACAATAGCATAAATCTAAGAACCGACACAAATATTTTACATGACACTTATATAAACATCATTAATAATTTATAAATTTTTTCATTTATCTTATTCTTTTCAATAAATTAATTTGTTTTTTCATTTTTATCGATTTTGTATGCGATAGCACTCCTTCTGTTTACATTATAATGATACCCTCTCTGTCTCCATCTATATAAGTACTTCAAATTTGTTTAGAATATTTCTGTAAGTGTTATATGTTTCTTTAGTACGGTGTCAAGCATTGCAAGGAATAGTTGGTGTTTTTTGTATACCAAAAATTAAATGAAATTTAAATAAATTATTAAAGAATGTGTAGTATATAAGTAACTGTTTTTGAAATTACACTGAAGATGAGACACACCATGGTCTCGAAACGTCTGTAATCATAAAATAAAGTTGTGTTAAACAAATCTGAGTGCTGTTTTGTTCATATTAAACAATTATATATATATATATATATATATATATATATATATATATAAACTAGCAAACCCGACGAACTCCGTTTCGCCACCAGATGGTTTCGTGAGAAAGATGAAGAAATTTTTTGTTTGTTTTATATTTAAAAAGGAAAAATTTGATTTTATTACACAACAGTAATGAATTTATTTCGATTACAAAAATGAAGTGTTTTTTAGTTGAACTTCTCTAAGTAAATGAAAGTGAATCCGAAAATGATCCGTTTCATTGAGGTGCTCTTTGGTAAACCACATTTTTTGTTTTTTGGTCTGACGTTAACACAAACAAAGCGGATGGCTTTCCAACTCGTGAACAGGCAATGTATAACTGCCCATGTAAAAAACAATGATTTTCTGAATAATCTATTTGAAATTTATCCCGCAAACACTAAGCGATTGGCCTTGCGACTTGTTATTGCGAACGCAAGGCAAACTGGAAATTGCAATCGTTTGAAATCAAGCGGAAGACCAGTCGGAATCATTGGTATGTCACCAAATCGCCAGCAATTTTTGATTCAATGGTGAAATACAGTGCGTGTACATCATTATTCTTTGCGGCAAGAATTGCTCGTTGACTTAACCAAGCATAATTCTGATAATTTTCACTAATGACATTACTCGAATTTTTAGATAATCTATTTGAAATTATTTAAAATAATTATTTTCATTACTCGAATTTTTAATTACAGTGCGTGAAGTTCCAGCAATTTGCATTGAGGCACGATGCCATTAACATCTAAATTTCTTAGCTATAAACCTTGCGGAGCCCGAGAACTTTCCAACGAATGCAAAATTGTCGAAACCGGTTCGTGCGTTCTGGAATTAAATCGTCAGGAAGGAAAACCCGATTTATTTTTATATATATGTAGATATATATATATATATATATATATATATATATATATATGTGAGCTCAAGTCAAAAGAGTCAAACAAGTATTACCTCTGCTTTTCCTTTGTCTTCTGAAATTTCTATTTCTAGATCGTGATCTTGATCGAGTTTTGGAACGGGACCTGGATAAAGACCTATCAATAGATTTAGATCTTCTGGAGTTTCCTCCACTTGAAGACCTTGAAGTCGTTGACGATGTAGAACAGCGAGAATTTCTATACCTTTGCAATTAAATAATATTAATATTAACTCATAAATAATTATAATAATTAAAAAAAATGTTTTATCCGAACCTCCTATTATTCGGTGATCGTGATCTATTCCTAGACCTAGACCTGTTTCTGGACCTGGACCTGTTCCTAGATCTGGATCTATTTCTTGACAATGATCTATTTTTAGACCTCGATCTGTGCCTAGAACGAGACCTGTGTCGCCCTTGTCTGTCTTTACGCCTTTTTTGTCTAAATATAATATAAAAGTAGTATTCCTCTTCTAATGGTGGAACCTATTGAAAATATTTTATAAAATTACCTATCTTCAGGAGATCTACTTCTTGAGCGTCGTTTTTCGGGTTTTCTACGTTTGCTGGGGCTCCTGCTTCGGCTTCTGCTTCGAGGCCTAACGCGTTTGCTAAAATAGAAAATAATCGAATTATTAGAGTTAATAAACAAATAAAAATAAATATGTTATTTTACTTCATCATATGATCATCGAGATTCATACTCTTGTTTAGGAAATAAAAAAAAAATTGGATTCAGGCTTCAAAATAATAATTTTTAATCTGCATTATTTCAAAAACCTTAAAAGACTCTTCATAAAACGCACGTGCAGGTTTCCGAGACAATCGACCGAGCCATTTCTTCATTAGCAATTGAATGCAAAACTTTTCCTAGTTTTTGCCAAAAATCCTGAAGTGATTTTGAAAATTCAAAAACTGTTCGAAAGATATTGATTGCGAATAGCATTCATTAGTTTTTTTGTGAAGATTGACCATTAAATGTTGAAATTTTCTTTAACTCCCCGTAGGGTAAGTTATAGTAATCGCAAAAAAAATCGAAAACGAAAATTTTTATAAATCTTTACGTTTCAGAGGTTTCTGAACATTTTGGCAAACCTTAGAAAAAATAAATTGCGTGTATTGAAAAAATGAATTGTTGTGTGTGCTGATACAAATTTTTGACGATTTCGCGAACACGGATCAAACGATTTGAATAATTCAATGTTTACAAGCAGTTGAATTGTAAAATTTCATAAAAGTTTAGAATTTCGCAGTGGACTTGAGCGATTCTAATCAGAATACATGCCGAAACCTATGTACGTGCTTTAGTGTTTTGTATTTATCTACTGATTACAGTTGACTTAAATAAAATACATTTTTAGAACACGGAATAAATAAAATGTAATGAGATGAACGAATTAATTTATTATCTTCCCGTAGGGAAAGTTATAGTAATCGCAAAAAATTGAAAATGAAATTTTTTATAAATCTTTACGTTTCAGAGGTTTCTGAACATTTTGGGATAGCTTAGAAAAAATGAATTGTTGTGTGTATGTGTGTGTGCTGATACAAATTTTCGACGATTTAGCGAACACGGATCAATCGATTTGAATAATTCAATGTTTACAAGCAGTTGAATTATTAAATTTCATGAAAGTTTAGAATTGCGCAGTAGACTTGAGCAATTAATTCTAATCAGAATCTTGCCGAAACCTATGTACGTTCTTTAGTGTTTTGTATTTATCTACTGATTACAGTTGACTTAAATAAAATACATTTTTAGAACACGGAATAAATAAAATGTAATGGTATGAACAAATTAATTTATTATCTTTTCGTAGGGTAAGTTATAATAATCGCAAAAAATCGAAAATGAAAATTTTTGCATATCTTTACGTTTCGAAGGTTTCTGAACATTCTAGTGTTCCTTATTGTTAGAAAAAATGAATGTATGTGTGTGTATATGTGTGTATGTATGTGTGTTTGTATACAATTTTTCGTCCACGATTTCGGGCGCACGGATCAACCGATTTGAATTATTCAAAAAACATTTTACTCGTATTTCGAAGATACAGATAAAAATAAAGAAAAAAATATATATTTGGCAGAAATTAGACATATGCACATCAAAGCATTAGAGATTTTAATAATAAGAACAAATTTTTGAAAGACATCGACTGGAAATCGTATTAATTATTTTTTAATGAAAGCGTATTTTCGAAATGAACTGTTGCAGACTTTATTTAAATAGCTGTAACTTCATTTTCATTGAATAATTTGTTCATGTTTACATATCGGAAAGTACACGCAAATTGCCTTGCAATGGAAAATGCTAATTACAGCTATATCTGTTATTTTTACGAAAATTTGCGTATAGTTCCATAAATAAGCATTTTGCACAAATAATTCGTTTAGGCTAAAGATTAATTCTAGATTAAAAATAAGACAACGTGACTTGTTATTATCACGTGTCATAACCTAATTCTATTGCGCTCACCTTGGATCATTCGGCTTTTTGCACTTATCCGTCATTTCTTTCACAATGAGAGGAGATTTTAGTGTCTCTAAAGGCTTGAAACTCGAATCCAGGTCTATTTGGCAAGCAACATTGCAGGTTTTGCTTCGTAACCTATCCTTTCTGAGATGCATTATTACTTTATCTTCTCCGTGTTCGACTTTCGCGACTTGTTCAATATTTTCACAAACTTCTTTCTGATCAGTTTTGTCATTAGTTTTGTCACTGACAACGTTATTTTTATCCGTCTGCGGCGATTGTGTCCTTAGCAAAGCGTCTTGTATACTGGATAATAACGAATTGCTTGTGATCTTTGCTTCCTTTTTGGACGCACCTTTCAAAATTCTGTCATTTATGTCAACTAAAACTTTTAATTTGCTTTTGTCGTGCGGTGCACGCTCGAAAACATTATCAGGCAACACCGACTTCTTCGCCAAAACGAAGGATAACTTGCTGCTCTCTGGCAACACTGCAGGCGAAAAACTTGGTTTTTTACTTATTGCAGTGTTCACTCCTATTGACACTAAAACAATTTCTTCATATTCTGGATTGCATCTCCTAGGAAGGTCTGGGACTTGTTTCGTTTCATCTTTTTGTTTGATCATTTCTTCTAGAGGTACTATGGCACTTGGAGGTATAACAGGAATCATGCGTTCGATGTCTTTTTCTTTACGATTACATTTCTTCAGCATCATTGCTTTTCTAGATGCATCTCCAATTGGATCAAATACCTTGGGTTTTGAGTTCGAAGGAGAGATTTTGGAAATAGGATTAGTTGTTGGAGTATTGCATGCACCTTTATTCATATTACAACCATTTGAATTAGGAATAATTGTTGGAGTAATTCCTACTCCTTTATTCATGTTACAACCATTTGAATTAGGATTAGTTGTTGGAGTAATTCCTACTCCTTTATTCATATTACAACCATTTGAGTTAGGATTAATTGTTGGAGTATTTCCTATGCCTTTATTCATGTTACAACCATTTGAATTAGGATTAATTGTTGGAGAAATTCCTACTCCTTTATTCATGTTACAAGCATTTGTTTCGGTTCTTGGAGTCAACATCAAATTTGATACAGCAGGTGAAGAAGCTTTTGGAATCAGCACTTGTTTTGAAACATTTTCATGTTGTTCTGGTTGATTCACACTCGAATCATTGACTTTGGGAGGACTCGATGTCAAGGCAGTGTTCGTATTCAAGGCAGTGATTTCATTAGCAGAACTATTTATCCTATTATTAGGAGTGCTTGAATTACTGGCAGTCGTCTCATTATTATCCTCTTTTCCACCTCCACATTTTTTTCGCATCATATACTCTTGCAAGTTTAGCTTTCTTTTAGTTTGTTTAACTGTTTTATTATCAATATTGTCTTCAGCATAGGTAGGACTTTGACCACTTGGAGAAATGCAAGTTAATCCTCCGGTTTCATCAGGATTAACAGAACTATTAACAATAACACTATTATCACTACATGCTAATAATATATTAGATTTATTATTTTCACTATGCATTAAATTATCTTTGGCACTTAAACTATTATCACTAATATTGTTCATTGGATATACACTAAACTTCTCATTTTTTATTAATTTCTGTTTTAATACAGGCTTATTTAAAACATCTCTATTCAACTTAGAAGTTTTGTCAGAAATTTCAGGTTTGCGGGCTGGTTTTGAAGTATTGCTGACAGTTTTATCAGCTTGTGAATCGGTCATCGATGAAATTTTTCTAATGTCAACCAATTGAGAGCATTTCTTCTCTGCATCTTTCATTAATTTGGTTTTAACAGATTTTTGGGATTTCTTATTATCTTTTTTACGCTTAGAATTTTTGTTAGATGGTTTGTCCTCATTTTTTGTATTATTTTGCTTCTTATCTGAACTGCGAGATAGTTTTTTCAATGATGCCTAATATAGGACAGAAAAATGGTGTTTTAAATTTGGTAGTTTTATTTGCTTTAATCGTATTAAAATAATTTTAGTCCGCAAGAGAAGCTTAAAATTAAATCAACTCAAAAATATTGTTACTTAAATAGCAAAACAAGTTCAAAATTTCTCAAAATTAATTCTATGAATCCTTTTATCTAAAATTAAGCAAATTTAAGAATGAACTGAAACATCTCTGAATATCTCTGAATATACCTCATCTTCACGAATGCAATAGTCAGGATCAGCCTTTCTCGAATCATCACTATCACTCTCAGAACTTTCCATATAGGGACTGTCATCATCCTGGTTCTCTCCCTCATCGGTACCATCAGATTCTGGTATGCACATAGATTTAATATTTTTACCTTTGCCTACACCTAGACCTTTTGCACGATCATCCGTTTTCCTATAGAACTGATTAGAATGGAAACTGCTTGGTGTCTAAAATGTATAAAAGTTTATGTTAGTGTTACATGATAAAAATGTACATCAGATTTAGAACAATGGGGTATTTGATAAAAACTTTATGTGATTTAGAGAATGGTTTACCTGACATTTTTCATCGATTGTGACCACATCTATTGATTCATCTTCTGTGGAGAAAGAAGAATCTTTCTGAGGAGATTCAAGCGCTGATGAGTTTTTATCAATGGTCATTTTGGATGTACTACTATTATTAGCAAATAGTGGTTCAATGGACATCTGTACTTTATCAAGTGGCTGAAGTGACCTGTTCAATACAAAACATTTGTTTGTATTGTGAAGTAATATTAACCAAAGACCTTTTCTTATTTAAATAAAAATATATTGGCCGATGCTATTTTATCCATAAATATATAAGTTATTTAAAAAAATATTCTATAGTGGTAGAAAAATAGCAGTAACATTTTTCATTTTTGTATAAATGCACAATTGCATTTGCACACTTTGTCCGCCTGATTTACATAATGAGACACCAACCAACTGCATGGTGCAGTAGAACAAAAGTAAACTTTTTCTTTGATTCGCGCATGTTAAGTCTAATATTCATGGTGACATAAACTTACGTCCTCATAACCAATTTCCGCACCATTTCCCTGGCTATTTTTGATGCGGCTGCCGGACTGTATTCGTTAGCAGCCTCAGAATTGGGAACTGCATCACCCGGTGTCCTTGGAGGAACCGGATTAAGGCCAGGAGACGTTGGTGTAGACGATGGCAATAAAAGACCTTTGCAATCCTCCTCAGTTATATAGGAGGCCAAATCGAAATCTCTAGCATCATCCGATAAGTCTCCTAAGAGCAAATTCAAATTTATATCATCCCGATCTAAAAAAAGATATTGCAAAGATTGTTATTGTTACTAGTAAAACAAACCGTTGAAAAAATACAATTCATGATGAAGTATAAAACTTTTTTAGATTTCTATAGGAGAAATGAAGTTGTTATACATTTCCTGATCAAAACTACAATTCCACTAAAATACCATTTTTTACCTTTGCTTAAAAATATACATTTCAATATTATTCATCAGGATATTAATGTTCTGATCCCCATTACTAACCTCTTGGGCATAAATCATTAGAATTAGTTCCTCTGGCTGTAGCTGCCCTAATTCTTTCAGAGGACAATTTTGCAGCAGGACTGCTGACAGATTTTCTTTTGCGATCACTGCCACCGCTGCTAAAAACAGGCGATTTGTAATAATCGACAGTCGAGTGTGACTTCAAAAGACTTCTTCCTGGTGTAGGAATGTAAACATCATATAAAACATTTTTTACTGGAGGACTAAACTCTGCTATAGTCTTTAATATCCTTTCTAATGGTCCATTGTGAGGTTTGGAATCTTGGATCTCACGTGGTATTGCAAACAAAGATTCTGGAGATGTCTTATCCTTACTCTGATGTTTTGATGCACTTTTCCCTAAATTAGTATCAAACCCATTGTCAAAACTTTGAAGTTGCGTAGATTCTACGACCTCCTCAAAATGCATTAAACCATGCGTTTGCACTTCCGCAAAATCTGCATCTGCTGTTAGATGCTCCACAAAAGCAACGACTTCTCCACTTGTGTTCAAATCCACAGTGACACCATCGGTTTTTAAATTATTTAAACTATCATCAACTAGATCACATGCAACTGAATCACAACTAGAGTCTGTGTTAACAACCTTCTCGATATCTTCTGGATTCAAATGAGGAAGACTACATACGGAAACGTTATTGGCTTGAATACATGATTGTACTCGGTCATCCACAGTATTGATTAATTTGGAGGAATCGTCAATTGTATCTTGAAGTACATCAAGTTTAGCTATGCCACTTATTTCTTGAGGCAATTCATGGTGGTCAATAGATTCTGGAAGGTTTATTAATTATTTTGAATAGTAGAAAAAAAATTGCATTGTACGACCGCGTGATAACTATATACTTATTCCCAACAACTATTTTTCCTAAAAATGTCTTTTCACAAATCTTACCATTGTTCTTTTTAATCGGACTAGAGCTCGGGCATTCATAAAGGTTGGATTCGTCATCAGGAAAAACCGATTGTCTCACTGGTGTAGGTTTGATAGGGCTTATAAATTTCATAGAAAAATTAGAAAAGTCGAGGCCAGGATCAAACACTCTTTCGGAACAAGTTACATCGACATCGTGCTTCAATTCATATTCAGAATCCAATGAGTCCTAAAGAGGGAATGATTTTTATGATCAACATAATTAAAAATTAATAGCAAATAAAGCATCCATGATGATGTCAGGAATTAAAAGATATATCCGAATGACAAAAATTGCATAAAATTTTCTTTTGGATTCAGTTAAATGTTTTATACAAAATCATGTAAACAATGAATTCATAATTCTAATTAGGGAATGCAATACCGATGGAAAATTTCAATACCGGTATTTCGGTAATTTTTCATTTTAAAACCGGAATACCGGTAAATTACCGGTATTTTTATTATCTTAAACAAACGTAAACAAAATTGAAAGTTAGTAGTGCAAATATAAAAAAATGTATATACAACTACAACTATATTCAACTAAACAATAAAAATAATAAAATAAAACAATAAGTTTATTTTTTTAAATAATAATTTAACAAAATTATATCCAATTTAATTAATTCATTATCACTATCGAGTATATTGAGTACTTTTCACCAAAAACAAACCAAAAACTCATAAAATATCATATTACATTATTATAATAAACTGTATTGTCTGTATCCGATGTGTTAAATTAGCATAATCTCCAATATTTAAAAAAAATATTTTTTCCACACTAATTTAAGATCGGATACTTTGTCGAGATAAATAATAAGTTACTATAATTGTTGAGTACTGTTATTTAAAACAATGTGATGCTTCTATAGTATTTTCAAACTTCGAAACGTTTTCGAAAAATAATATTTTATAATTGTAATAAGAAGCAAAAATATTTAGTAATTATCATAATAATTATGTATAAAGTTAGAAAAAAAATAAAGATTACGCAGGGGTAATCTGTATGATATAAAATATTTTGGCGCAAATGCCACTTAAAAGACTGTTACATTTTTACATCAGATGAAACAAACATCATTATCTATCAGTCCAATTCTATTTATTGTTAAACGATATGTAGCCCTTAGTTAGTAAAGCAATAAATATTCAGTTTAATGACGAGTTGAAATAATATTTGACATTTGTTTATCCTATAAAATCACTTGAAGATATAGCTGTTTATGCGATTAAGGAATTTAAAGATAAATTTGTTCCGAGAAATTTAAACTTTAATGTAGTATGTATCAAATAGCGCTTATGTAAAAATACCGAAAATACCGAAAATACCGGTATTTTTGGGGTAAATACCGGTAAAAATACCGCCGAAAAATTGGGCGGTTTACCGGTAATTCGGTATACCGGTATGCATTCCCTAATTCTAATCATAATATTCTAGAACAATATTTAAAGAAGTTGTTATATTGAAGCTTTACCTCGTTGGGGTTAACTGTGAGGATCTCCACAGAAGGTGTTATAGTTCTTATATCCACTTCCAAGATATCCCTTGAAGCCCAAATATTGAACGGCTCGTTTGAATGCTGAAATTCAGATATGACTGATGTACTTGAAGTTCTCCTTCGCCGTCTCTTATATTCACCAAATATTTGATCGTCTTTAACTGTAGTCCTAAATTTGTCACAAAAACTTACACTCCTAAATCGATTTTTTTGAAACATACAATGTTCAAATATAGAGATTTGTTTATTATCCAATTTTGTAATATCAGAAAGACTTCTACTTTTGTTATATATTAAATTTGTTTTGTACAAAATTTCAGGTTTGGCACTTGTTAACGTCATATCATATGATTTTGTTTCTAGGATAATTTCTTTGCATCTATTTATATCATTATCATCGACCTCTGGATTATTTACATTATTTACACTAGAATTAACAGTTTGGTTTTCTGTCCTAATTTCACTCTCATTTACTAAAGGATTTTGAGAAACATCTGCACCGGTTGAGCAAACTTCACTGCCACTTATTACAACTTCTGCATCATTACTTGAAGTATCAATTTCTATCACAGCTTCACTAACACTAAAGCTTTCATCACTATGTGATGATGGATCAGCACTTACATTATTTCCATCTTCATTACCAACAATATTGTGATCACTGCCGAAGTCAGTTTCAACATTGCCCATATTATTTGATACAATTTCAGCATTTGTTTTATTTATACTTGCATCAACTACAGATATCTCAGTAGCATCACTCGAGTCATCAGTGATTTTGTCACCAATTTTTTGGTCTGTATCACGATCTGGAGAAGCAGCTTGCGCAATGTTATCACCTTCTTCA